CAATCGATAAGTGAGGACATGAAAACACAAAAAGGATGAAACATGTGTCTGACGTAGCAAGATAATCCGAGCTGATAATGCGTGATGACGTCACGAATAGGATGCAGCACGTCCGGGGTTAAGCCGCGTGGTTGATGACGTATCAACCCACACGGGCTCCTCCGTAAATTTCCTTTTCCCCCGTCCGTCGTCTGTGAGCGCCACAGCGCCACATGGCTCCAAACCCCCATATTCTATCTACTAACTACAATATTTTTTTAATGATTCAATTTGTTGCGATAATGAACACCGAGACTACTTTGAACAGTGCTTCTTTATAAAGATAGCTCACACTTATGCATGTCGGTTGCAGTTCGAAAAGAAAGGAACCTCCGTAAATGTACCGTGGTATAATGGTTCGTGCAGCATTATGAAGATCAGTTCCTAATTTGAAAATATCTGATGTGTACACCACATGACTTCCTTGTACAGAATATTAAGTTATACGCATTTTTTCTTGCATTTCATTTAAACTTATTGGATTGAATTAAATCTACTTCGCCGACAGCGCATAAACCACAATAGAATAAATGCATTCTTTAAAATTCACTCTAGTATTTGTTTACCATAGGACTCTGGAGCTAGATTCACTTAACAGTGTTATATTTCGTTCATATTATAACTCAGAATGCAAGAATGCACAAAATTTATATCATTTAAAGAATAGAATTATCTAATCGTTGCCACATGTTCTATTCAAATACTATAATAAAGCTAGAAGGATGTATAAAAGAAATTAAGCAAACAAAACAAAAAAGAAACAGTTTTTCACAGACGATAAAGTATTTCTCATTCAATTAATTCAGTTCTCACTTCGCGAGAAGGCAAAAATACATAAAAACTCAAAATATCTATATTAAAAATTACGAAGTAAATCTTAAACACTTATTTCCTCGAAAAAATTTCAGAAAGGATTTGCATGATTTAATAATTGGCAATAATAAATGAAGGCGTTATCTTTGTTGTTGCGAAGCTAAGTTTATCTAGATTGGCAACAAATCCACTAGTCTGCTGTTTTAAATGTAAACAAGCAATGGCCTCCATCAAAAAATTATTAAGCTTAACGGCACTTAAACAACTTTAAAATTGTTGATAATTCTAAAAATATTGCATACAGATTTCTTAAAGGCATAAAAACCGTAACCAGAAGATAAAAACAACATAATTCAATCATTTTTAAAGCAAAAAATGTACAATTTACAAACATATACGAGTAAAGAAACTGAGATCACTGAGCCGGGTAACAGAGTGGATATATATATAAATATATTTATATACGTTTGGTGCGGCCGATTGCAACCAAAATACGAGGTGCACATCTGCATGTTATAGCAGTCCTATGTGCAAAATTTCAACGTTCTGAGGCTACTCGTTTTTGAGTTATGCGAGATACGTACGTACATACGTTCGTACAGACGCCACGAAAATTCTCTTCAGAATTCATTTTAAAGCAGTTTTATAATTTTTTTGAGGGAACGAGTCTTTTATTCTGTTCTTACGGACAGATATCACTCAAAAACATCGTTAAATTGGATTCGATAGCGGTCAAAATGGATATTTTCGTTGAAATATGCTGCCTGAAATTTTTCGCGATTACAATACTTCCTTTTTACTTCGTACAAAGAAGTAAAAAGACTTCATAAGACTGCGGGTACCATTATGCCGGCGCACCCTTCTGCAGTTCCGAATTTCGTTTACATTATGATTTACATTTGCAAATAGAAGCTAAAGTTGCGCAAGTGGGCCGCTGTATGACGGTAATCCACACTGATGAAGGTTTGCTTTTCTCAAGTGAGAAATTGATCTTAACAAGCATGCTCGCATCTTTGTACCTAGGAACTTTTATGAAAGTTCTTGTTTTTTCGAATAGCCGCTGATATACATAAGGGTGGCACACCTTTTATGATACTACAAAAACGATCTCATTAGCAACTTGTTTTTATAATATGGGTGCTAAGCCAAGACATTTTACAGTACTTATCACCGATTTGCAAGCATAAGCTCTTACGTTTCTGATCTTTTTTCTAACGAACATGATTTTATGTTTAACTCGAAACCAATTTAAAAAAATCCACAAAAGATCTTTTGCGGAGCTCTTGGAAACAAAGCGATTTTATGTTTCTATTCATTACTTGTAACAAACAATTTTTAATAATTATTGTGACTTTATGGTAACTAAAGACTACGACACCTCTTCCGGTTTTACGAAAACAAAAGTTTACGAAGTAGAACGACGTAAAAATAGCTTTATCTGTGTAAACTCTTGATGCTTCTGATTACATCTTGGCTGCAGATTGAGATACTGATAATACGTTTGATGTAACGGATGTAGGCATTTTTCTTTGCGTATTGGGTGTTGGAATGTCGATAAAAATGTACATTCTATTTCCAAAAGCATTCTGTTTAAACGAACTTGATTATTTATTTTTCCAAATATTTTTATTATATTCAGGTTGTTATAAAATATTTGTAAGCCTTTTACTAGGTACATTTTGAAATATTTTTTGATAAGTAATGGCGCTTTTATTCTCTGCCTTTGTCTTGCACGAGAATAATAAGGGGCTTTCCACAAACCATAATTCCACTTTACATTTATTTTACGAAGTAAAGCATTTTAAGCGGGTAGCTATTAAAACCCAATTATTACCTATCATTTAACAAATTTGGTAAGTTTTCTGAATGTTTTCCATTGGTCTCCATTAGTTTTATATACTTCCATTAGTTTTTATTAATAAGACCTAAATTGTTGAGAACCCAAAAAGTTTAGTTCATCTCCAACTGCTGCGAAAGATATGGTACATTTCAATTTTGTATTCTCTAAAGACTCTTTTGACGCTTTTAAATCTGGTAAATTTTTATACTTTGGAAGATTTCTTTTGTTTTATATTGCAAATTCTTGACTTTCTTTGAACTTTTGTGTCCTTAGTCACGACACAGATCTCACTTTAAATCATATGCACCAACGCATATCATTACATTCATCAGATTCTACTTAAGGAAATCTTCTAGCATACAAATAAAAAAAAATCCAACAATTCAAATTTACCAATAATATAACATTAAAATTATGACAGGCAAGACAATGGTAAGCAATTTTCATAATTTTTAACCTTTACTACACTGCAGAATGATTTTTTAAAATACATTTTAGGAGAGTAATTTTTCCTTTGTAGGAGATGTTGTCATCGGTCAAATGTAATTGAAAATTTCAATTACATTCAATCAAGAAACGAAAATTTCACTGTCAAAAATAAGAATTTCTACATATAATAAAAGAGTCTGCCTGTGTGTGTGGTGCCTTTCGTTCGTGCTGCGCGTAAGCTAATAGACCCAGGGCTACGAAATTTGGTACGTGGGTCCATCTAGACAAGAGCCAATGCATCTCGAAGTGATTTTTTTCAAAATTCGAATCACATGTTTTTTTATTTTATCTTTTTTGATGATATCGCATCATTTTGAATAGTTTCATGCTTTTATAAATGTGGTTTTGGCAATAGTTTTTTTCATTCAATGCTTTGTATACTGGACTGCTAACTGTTGAAAATATGAGATAAAATATTTCTTATTTCATGCTGTTTATTTTCGTTAAATTTGTGGATACGCAACACGTACATCGCAATCTTCTTATTCTGACGCGCACGTGTCTCGTGAGGCACAACAGAAGGAATTTTCTTTTTTTTTTCTCTCTCTCTCATTAGCTGATGGTAAAGAAATTTGTATATTTTGAATTATGTCATCCGCAAAGCACAATTTTGATCGGTTATTGCTTTCTGATGATAATATCATTCTTTTAGAAATGTGGTTTCGGCAAGTTTCATTCATTGCTTTGCATACTGGACTGCTGACTGTTTTCTCTTGAACATATGAGATTTATTGCTTATTTCATTGTAATTTTTTACATTATGTTTTAATTATATATAATTTAAATTATATAAAATATTTTGCTTGATTTGTTTTAGGAAACAAAGTTTCTAACTTCCTTTACTTAACTTCCTCCTTGATTTAAGATTTTGCAACAAGAAGTTGGTTAATTTATTTATTAGGATAATTAATATTTGCATGAACGGATATTGCATATTTCATTGTAATTTTTTTAATATGTGATAAATTTTTATTGATTTTTTTTTCGATGAAGTTGTTCTGCAGAGTAAAATTCTGTGAAAGTTTTAAATTTGATGTTTGGTGTTTGTTACCTTTACGCATTTTAACGGTACATTTTAAAGCCAGACGAAGGCTGGCCTCATAGCAGCTAGTCATATGTAATTTAATAAATCATATTTAAAATAAACAATGATCACTACATTTATTTTCCTTAATTATAACTGCAATTTGATTATGTAAATATTCTTTTTTTCTTAAACCTTCCATAAAACTTCCATAAAAATTATGAACACAACTCTATCATTAAATTAAATTAAAGCTATAAAAATTATTTTATTATTATTATTATATACTTTATTATTTTTTTCTTAAATAATAGGATCAGGAGCAAATAATCGGCTTAATAATTGTAATGAGCCGTGAGGTTTATCCTAAGTTGCTAACAGTTATTTTTAGTTAAAGCCACTGTCCTATCTCTCTTAATTTCAGCTTACAATTTCCTGCCAGAACGTGCTTTCAGAATCGCGGTTAAATACAAATGTAGAAGGAGAAAGTATTTAAAGTTGAAGTACTGACTTTGTTAGAAAGTCAGAGCTATTTCGACGCCCGGCTGAAGATTTCGACGCCCGGCTGAAGCTATTTCGACGCCCGGCCGTATTTCAGGCCCTTGATTGCTTCGCCGTTTAGTTAGCGTTAAGGGGCCAACTCCTGTAAAATTGTGATAGCTTCGGCTATATCTCTTTAGTTAAGTTTTATTCCTTATTATTCTTGAGTTCAAGCCCAAGTAGAGGCTTTTCTGTACGTCCTGAGAGAGGACCGCCCGTTAAATTTATTTTGAAAAATAAAGGGTAATTAGCCCTTCTCGAGTCTGTTCTCTGTCTACTGAACTAAAGCGATTATTCGCTTTACCAGTTCTCAAGGTTCCACACATTTAGCTGTAAATTATAGTTTGGAACATTACAGAGTGAAAATTCAAAAATTCAAAAATATTAATTAAAACTTTAGCATTTTTGGTCCATCATAATGCACCGAAATAAACAGATTTTATGAATAGTTATAGGGAATTAAAACTTAAAATATGTATTAGAAGCACAAATAGCAATAAAAGCAATTCAATAACTTTAAGGTTATTTATTCAGATATCATTAAGTATCCTCTTATGAAAATAAAATTTTTAAAGGGTATTCAGCACTTTTCCGGCGCTTAAAACTTTTAATTTAACTCATAGTATCTTATTCTTTCTAGTATGTGACTGTGGAGGAAACGGTAAATGCATTTTCGACATAAATGGAAAAAAGAGCTGTCAATGTGAAGAATCTTTTAAGGAATATAATGGAATATGCGTCTGTAAGTATATTTTGATGGAATGAAAAAATTAGTATTATGTGTTTGTAAACATTTTCCATAAGTTCCATAAATAAAACTTTCATTATAACGCGAATTTATATTAAGCAATTAATTCAGGTAAATTTTAGTCTAATGAAAGAATGTGTTTTACTCAAGCATTTACACAAACATTGCTTCTATTTTCTTATTTGTTAACCTCTAATATGCAAGGCCTTGCAAGGTCTACACAGCACTTGGCATGTTCACACATTTCCATGATTCTGTAGCAGAACTCCTGTTTCAGAGTACTGTTCAAGTCTCTCAGCTCTCTGAATCTATTTAGTACTATTAAAACAATATCTTTTGAGGAAGAAGAAAGGGAGGAGGAAATAAGATGCAAACGCCAAATGTGGTGAATAATAGGGGATGGATAAGAATTTGTGATACTTTTCTTTTGCTGAAACTACTTAAAGTGAATGGAAATCAGTGAACGGCGTGTTAAGGTAGTAAGACCAATTATTTGATTGAGCATTTTTTAGATCTGATGAGATGAATTCTCTTCAGAAATATGGCCATTCTTCTGTCATGAAATATGGAGTTTATTAACATGGTCATTTCATTCCAAATTTCTGAAACCGACGCTTCTGTGGTCATGGTGAAGCAGCCCAAACTGATGATTGCCCAAGCAGATGACTGCCATTTTGTTTCAGAATCAACAGCAAAGCACCAATTTCATCTCCAGTCGCAAATGGTAGAGATGCAAGACATAATGTCTGCCATTTGAATCATATTACGACAAGCAGATATATGATCTTCTTTCCACTGTCCAATCAAAAGATGTGGATTATAGCAAGAACAAAACCTTCTTTTTTCAAGATTGTCCACTACAATTTTGTGAGCAGTGTTAATTTATCGTTTGAAGAGACAGATGACGATTTTTCTCCTACAATTGTCGAATATTTTTTAAGTTCTCGTCAGTTCGATACTGCGAAAGGCTGCCGCTATGGACTCATTAACATGTTCGCGACCGTTATGATACTGTCCGCACCATCGAAAAACATGGGACTGTGTTAATGCTCGATCCGTACACGCTTTACATAACATTCCAATGTCTTCTTTGCTGCCTTCTCACTTTACAACAAAAACCTTATTCGCATTATTTGCTCAACTTTCGAATTCATGGGAACAGACTTCCGCAGGATCAAAACACATGATAAAACTGCATAAAAATTTCTATCCATAAGCTGACGATATTTTGGAGATCTAAATTACATGACAATAATCATGATTACATGACAATAATAATATTACATGACAATAATCATTTCACAGATTTACTGGAATTCTTTTTAAAACATTAATTCTAAAACATTTTAGAAGCACTTTGCATACTATTTTCTTAATTCTGTGTGTATGTATATGGAAAAAGATTGGGCAATGAAGCGCAATCATTTAGCGAATATAGCACTTCAAATCTCAAGCAAAAGTATGTATTTTGGTTGGAAGCACTGATTAATCTCAAATTCTGTCAACGGTAGCAGGGTCTGAAGTCTGAATATCAAGATAGAGGCACAGCTTACGTAGAAAAGGGACACTTACATATCACCCGTTCTAATTTTCAATCACCCGTTCTAAATTTAATTTGAATTTTTCATTTCTCGAAAGCATGACTAAGAATGTATATCACATTATGATGTGATATAAAAAATGTACACACATCACAGACATTTAATGAATAATATTAGAAAAGCTACAGATTTGAATTTGAATAACAGTACCATTGCGCGCTTTCGTGCTCTTTAGATACAGCATGACTTTAAGTATTTAAATAGTTACTCAGCGTCTACTTACTCTTGTTATTTTAACAGAGTTCGTTTGTTACCCCTTCCGCATGTATCAACATCTATCTGACATCATCGTCTTTCGCCTCGCTCTCGCTGTCGCATAGGTGATACCCTCTGGTGGCTGTGTTGAACTAAAGAATACCACATTTATATATAGCGTTGTTCTAACATAGGTAATCTGACTCAAAGTTGGGATTTTTTCTGAAATTAATAGGGGGACCGGAAAGTAATGTCGCTTTTTTACATTAAATTCAAATAAATAAATTTATAGCAAGTTTTTATTCTTAATCAATAATATAATCATCCTCGTTATCAGCAACCTTTTGCCATATAGTATGCAGATTTCAATCCCAAACCGATAAAAATCAATTGGTTTTTGAGCAAAATATCTCGAGATGGCATTTTGAACATTATCCAAATTTTCAAATTTTTTGTCACTAAGAAAATGTTGTAGGGATCGGAATAAATGGAAATCCGAGGGTGAGATATCGGGCGAATAATGGTGGTGAGGCAGTACCTCCCATTATACTTTTCCAGTGTTCGTCCTGCACAGTGCGGCCTTGCATTTCGTGTTGCAGAATGACGCCTTTTCTGTTGACAATCGCCGGATATTTTTCGATTAAAGATTGGTTCACTAGATCCAGTTGTTCTCAATAAATGTCTAAATTAACAGTTTTTCCAGGTTTCAGGAATTCAAAATGAACAATTCCGCGAATACTCCACCAAACACTCAGAAGCGCCTTTTCGGGATGTAAACCCTTTTAACCCCTATTAAAACTGCCTTTTGTGTTTTGGATTATCATATAGGACTTATTTTTTTGTCTCCGCTAATCAAACGATCAAGAAACGGTTCTGTATGGTGGTTGTTGAAGCAATACGTTGCATGTGATGGATAGGTTGGCTTTGTTCTTTTCGGACAGATTATGGGGGACTCAAACACCTGCTTTGCTTATTTTTCCATTCTGCTTTAAATGTTCTTGGATGGTCGACGAAGGTTGGTTAACCCCTTGGGTACGGATTTATTTGAGAAAATCTTTGCATGTGGAACGGATATAATTTTTGGTTGCTTGGAGTAGAATGTAAAAGCAGTAAATTTTACGTAAGAATTTATTTATTTCTAAAATATTGGTGACATATGTAGTATTAAGATATCTTCAAGTGATTAGAATTGCAAAACAAAAATAAGTTAATGACAACAAAATAAAACTAAATGAAATAAATTCAAGCTATAACAAAAAACCAATTACTAATAATTATGCAGAGTGTGATATTTTTCAAAGCAAGTAAGTAAATACAGTGCTACTTTGCATTGTTTGAACTGCCACGTAGTCTCTTTCCTTATATTGTGCTTATAACAAACACGGCACCTTTTTCCACGGTGTTACTTGGACTTAGTTGACGGAATGTTCTCAGGAAAGTGTGCCCAATTTTTCTCTGCCAAACCAAATGGTTTGTATCGCTACTTGACGGGCGTTCACGACGTTTATAATTTGGCAATGACAAATGCTCCAGCAATTCTTCGGCAATAGCTAAACGAAAGGAAGTAATGTCTGCCTTCGTTGTGCAGTTGATTTTAGAATATAAAACATGAGCATTATAAAAGGCCATATCTATTAGATAAAAAAAACATTTTCTTATAACCCTTTACAAAGTTTCTCATAACTGAGAATCACGCTAGCAATTGGTCTTGTTTATCAACGCCTCCCATACCTTTATTATACTCAAGCACAGATGCCCGTTTTATAATAGTTTCGCTATCGCCACCTTCATTTTTTCTCCTTTTGCCTGTGTTTATCAAATCAGCATTTGAATGTTTCGTGCTAAGTGTGTGAATTATCCGCTCCTAGGGAAGACAAGTGAATGACGTCTCTCAGACGTCAAATGTACCCAAGAGTTTAATATTTGGTTTGACGTCTTAGACACGTCATCCGCTCCTAGGGAACAAAAAGTGAATGACGTGTCTCAGACGTCAAATGTACCCAAGGGGTTAAGACTGTTTGACATAGATTTGCTTCCACTTCTGCCTTTAGCATGTTGTTGTCGACATACGCAGAAACGACATTACTTTCCAGTCCCCTATTACATACTTATTGTTTTCCATATTTCGATTGTATGATTCAAATTTTGCCAAAGTCCCAAGTTTTGAAAAATTGCAGGAGTAGGTTTTAAAAATTTAGCTTTCAAAATTTTATCTCCTGAATGCTAATTGAATTTGGTATATATTTTTTTAAATTAAACTTACTTGATTCCTTCTTTCACAATTCGAAACTTAACTTCAATCCAATATAAATCTAATATATATCCTAAGTCGTATTTTTGGGGATAGGAAAAAAAGCAAATGAATTTTTTTTTTTCAATCGGTCTACTAGAACAAGACATATAAAAACTGTCACTTTTTTGTGCAGCCTCATGGGCTATTTGCCTAAGGGGAGTGATGTCTTCGTGGAGGAGTTTTTATGGGAATGACTCGTATACATGTAAGACATGAGGAAAACCACGAAAACGCTCATGCACCCACACCGTCCGCTGGAATCGAACCGAACTACCAGTGTTCAGCGACTTTACCGCTCGGCCGCTGCTGAGTCCCTGAGAAATTTAAAATATGATTAGAAGATGTGATGGAATAAAGATATAATGAATGGCCATATGATGCATGAAAAGAAAAGAACTGTTGGTGTTTCTTCGGCAGATAGTGTGTAAGATTACAAAAATTTTATGTATGGAAAGCCATAATCATGTCTAAATAAAAACACAGACAAAAATAACATTCCTCAAATCTGAGTAGTTGTCGAGAAATTATTTAAAAAGGGTGTTGTAATGTCAAGAAGAATTGTTTCCAGCAAAAATAAAAATGAGTGCTCTTTAACATTTTATCATTTTAACATTTCCCGAGCTTTCTGATATTTAAAATTTTTTCCCGAGTTCCTTTCTACAAAAAACGTTCCTCGAAAATTTCATACTGTGTTGTGTTGTATTACAGAAAATTTTAAGAATATATATAGCCCTTTTCTTTTCTTGTGAAAATTTTACAAATATTGGGTATTTGTTCTTTAAAATAAAAATCCGTCTTGGAGTCAAAGAATTTGCATTTTAAAATTTCGCCATTGTTCGAAAGTTCTAGTCGCCGTGAGATCTAAAATTATGCTTTATAAATAAGATACCTAGAATTTTTTAAACTATAAATAAATAATAATATATAATATTATACTTATTTAAATGTATAGTATGAATATAACACGTTTAATTAAATGTTGGGAATCGTGCCACATATTCGCTGATTACGCCCGTAACTACAGATATCCGTGTTTTACAGACATGGAACAAAAACGAAAAAAGCCTAAGCTACGGCCTGTTTGACAAGTGAGGTTTGATTACGTTTATTGAGATTACTGCAAAGCGCATTAGGGCTATCAGTGTAAGGGGAGGGATGATTTCGTAGAGGACTTTCTAAGGGAAACTTTCGCGGGATTCGGACCTCGGAACGAAGTACGGATTTTCAGCGACTTTAACGATCGGCCGCTGGTGGGCCGTTTGCCAAAGTGAGAACGATATGTATCATAATGAAGTACAGCTTACCAGATACTCGTTATGCTGTCTTTTATGGTAAGTGCGCAGCTACATGCTGGTTTTGGACAGTTACGCTATTCTTGATACCATACACGCTAGTAGTCACGTGGATAAGACGGATGAACACTGCTGGTTTGACCTAAGTTCAAATACTGGCCATTGGGTTGGCTGCATGGCAATTTTTGCCCACATGGAACATGAATGCAAACCATTTAACTTCAGATTTTGCATATACGTACTTGAAAACATGAATTACGTACATTTGCACATAAATAATGACATAATAACTGCACTTAAATAATTGCACATAGCTACGAGAATAGCTATTTAATGCAAAGTTCATTATTATTTACGTAAAATATCACCCATGGATGTAGTTATACTATGTACCAGGGTTTCTTTAACTTTTTAGTTTAGGGACCTCATAATATTTACGAAAGTTTTCTGGACACCCCCATAGGCATTGCACAAATCCGACACATGCGTGAGTGAAACTAAGTTTCTTTACTTGTACTGTAATATACTACTGCAGTTTTCGGTCATAAATTTTTAAAGTAAAATGCACGTTTCTAGTTTTTTTTAAAAAAAAAAAAAAAAAAAAAAAAAAAAAAAAAAAAAAAAAGAAACATTGAAATGTTTCCTTTTTTTTTTTTTTTTTTTAGCTGTAATGTCTTATCTTTTGTCTCTATTTTCAGACACATTATGTAAAAATATTTGGTAATTGTAAAATTATTACAATAAGTTAAAGAAATATCAATATGGCTAAAATTTTTGGCGACTCCCTAGTACAGGTCCTTTGACCCCACAGTTTAAGAAACTCTGTTATATACTATTTTAATACCTTTTATCAAGACTCTAAAGAAGTGAAGAGTGAGTGAGTGAGTGAGTGATTATGGCGCAAAAACCAAAGATGATTAAAGAAGTGAAGAATAAAATAAACAGTCAAAATTAACCAATCTTATATATGGCTTTTGGTGCGATGTTTAATACATTATCGTGAAAAGTTTTTAAAGACAGCGTTCTAGAGATGTTGCTCTCATACGGATGTTACAGAGTCCCTAAACACTGGTCGTTCGGTCCGAGTTTCGAAACCCGCAAACGGGCTGGCTGCATGCGCATTTTCGTGTTTTTCCCTATTGCAAATTTTTAATACGAACTAGTTTCCCTAAGAATCCCTCCCTTCCGTGTAGTGCTTTAGCGCGGAAGACGTAAATAATAGTAATAATACACTTGTTTTATGGCCATAACGCATAGTATACGATAATTAAAGTTTTCTAACAGTGAAGTCATGTATTTGGAATTGTACGCTGAATATGCAGTAATATGTGCATTCTGATAATAATTTATAAACGTGTATTGTACTGACAATCGCAATTTTCATTCCTTTAATTTGATATAATCATTTTTACAGTTTGCAGCTGTTATTATGGTACTTGTGTTCCTAAGGAAAACGGGTTTGAATGTATCTGTAATGAAGGATACCTGAATATTGACGGGAAATGCATTAGTAAGTAATACGTTTTATTGTTAAATAATTATTATATTTGGTAAATATTAAAATGTCTATTAGAGAAAGGAAATAAAAGTATTCCTACAAAATATTTGTGCTAAAATATGCTTTCCAATTTCATTCAAGTGGAATTCATTCAGACGCATAAAATTCAGAATTCAAAACTTTTCTTTCCAGGATAATAATATTTTATAGGTGTAAAGGAATATTATATTTCTAATTAAATATAAGAAGTGCATAACTGCAAATGCTTTCACCAATTGTTATGCATTAATGTGGATTTATAAATAGAAAATGTTTAAGTAAGCCAAGTAATTTAAGATAATTTTTTCACAAAGTTTACGATTTACTTCTATTGCGCCGTGTCCATTGGCATTCCATTTGTGATATGGTATGATTCGCGGGTACAGAGGTACTGGTAAACAATACTTCTGTTTTAATAAATTTCTATAATTTTGTTTCAGTGCTAGTCGACGCAAAATTATAGAAATTCATAAGCAAAATGACGTAACTATTATGTACCATTTTTTAACGGTTTTACATTTATTAATTTCATTGTTTAATTTAATCAAATATTTTTTGTTAATATGGAATCTTTAAAGTTTTTAAAATAATATTAAAAAACATTTTTTCATTAATTAACATAGCAAAATACTTCCTATTGTCCCTGAAAATTGTTATTTAATTATTATTATGTTGGCTTTACGCAACGTTTCTAAAAATAATATAAAATTAATATTTCATGCTATTAGAAATTTATTTTTCAGCATTCATGTTGCTTTTATTAAATAATAAATTTTCTCAAATTTCAGTGTAGAAATGTTATTATTAAAATTTAATGTATCAATAACTATCATTATTTTCCATTAATGTTAATATTCATGACTTATGAAATTCTAATAATTATAATAAAATTAAATATGAGTAAAAAGGCATTTAAATAAAAGTATTCGAAATTATGATAAATGATTTTTTGTAGTTACATAAATGAGTAGCAAAAGTCACTACTTCCTGCGCCTTCGCAGTAGATTTCATTAGTCGACTATTCTTTTCTGAAAACAGTACTCTAACAGGATCCCATTCCGGTACTGTTACCACGAAAATGTATCATGATATGCTGCGTAGTTTTGTCATTTTGTCTTCTTGAGTAGAGGCAGTTGCTGTATCGGGTAATTATTATCAGGATGGAGCATCAATCACCACACATTGGTCTACGAGTACACTGTCTGTTGCGCGATCACTTTAAAAGAAGAAAGGGACTCAAGACGCTTTTTCTACTTGCATGGCAGCATTTCTCTCCGAATCTAACCCCATGTGATTTTCTTCTGTAGATTTATTTGAAGTTCAATGCCTATCTTGGCCCCAAATTCGCGACCTTAAAGGACAACATATCATGAACTGTGCTGAATATTCCTGGTGAGATGTTACATTTGGCCGTCGAGAATATTGTGTTTAGGCTGCAATGCATGATTGCCAAGAATGTGGTCACATTGTAAATGGTCAATGCACTGGCCAAGGAATCGTGTTTATTGAATTAAGCGCTATGGTTCGTTATACTGTTATATCTTTGGGGGAGTCCATCTGCTATATTACAGAGGTGTTGCACTGAAATTTCTTCTTTAGGCAATTGATTTGCCTAATTCTCAGTTCTTTACACTAGAATAGCGCCATATTCTCCCTCATCGACAACTTCCAGAACTAAATTGTTTTAACGATATCTTTTCTCCATGTAGTCATTAGTCTCCCTACCATATTTGGTATATATATATATTGCATAAAATATTTTTCTTCTTCTTTTTCTAGAATGTGACTGCAGAAATGGCGATTGCAGTATCGTAGATGGACAGAAAAAATGCACTTGTCATCCTGGTAATGCGATGAAAGGAGGATACTGTGAACGTAAGGAAAACGTCATTTTATATCCTTATTGGATATATACTGCTGAATGTTAATGTTTTAAATAAAATGAATTGTAACTCTAAAGTGCGTATGAGGTAATGATGATTTAACTGTTCACTAGATAATAAAAATTTTAACATTTTCCAAATTATTAAATTATAACTTACTTCTTTGTTGTCACGTGATAAAAGATTTAGTCCTTTTCCAGGCATTATTTTTAGCTTAAAGCTTAAAGCATTACACTTTTGCTCAAGTTAAAATCTTCACTACAGTGGCTTGCTTGCCATTACTATAATGCACTGCACTATAAATTAAACCGGTTTCTGAACGCAATTCTTTTGTCTTTCCCTTTCCTAATTTCCTGGTTGACAGTGTGGCCAAATGGATAAAATCGTTAAACATTTTTTGTTCGATCCAGGCTAAATTCCTGCAAAATGATGCTCGCTGCATGGGCACTTTCGTGATGTAAATACAGGTCCATTTGCTTTGGAAAATCCTCCACAAAGCTGCTCCTTCTCTGCGTGGGCTTTACAAAGCAGTCCGATTCCAACTCAGTCCTATATTGCTAATGAGCAATGTAAGACTGAGTTGGAAAAAACGTAACATAACCTTAGTTTATGGCGAAAATAGTTTAGCGATAGCGGTTAGCAACTGATTACAGAACGTTACACACTGTTACGAAATGTACAGGCGCAGTAAGATGGCTTCCCCGCAAAGCAATTTTAGGGTTGCCGTAAAATAGCAAGGAAAGCAGAATTGCCACATTTGGCGAGAAATCTCCCATTTGGCGACAAAATTTGCGATATGTCATGGACGGATGGAGAACCTTCTGGAAGGAATTCTTACCGGTTTAACCCAGAATGTTCTCGAACACAAGACAAAAGCTATATAAACCCTGCTGGTCCGCTGTGCGAGTCGGTGTGTCTCGAGTTAGTCAGTCCGTGAGGAGTCGATCGAGTTGACAGCCGGGCAGCGAGTGCCGAGTGGATCGTCGAGTGAACCGAAGGAGTCTCTTAGTGTATCGTCGAGGGACCGTGATGAGCTCCGGGAACGACTGAACCGAAGAGTCGGGAGCTATGTTCTGTGTGTCGTCGAGTTCATCATGAGTTGTAGCGTGAAGAGTCTCGAGAATACGTTGAGTTCCGAGAACGACCAAGCATAGTCGGGAGCTGTACTCTCGTGGTTTGCAGTGAAGCTGTCTTCACCGTTATGGCCTGATAACTTGAAGGCTGTGTCGCTTATTGTTTCAGTGAGTTTATATTAGATCTTCGACGACTGTAAAACGTGACTTTGGAGCTGCCCTGATTAATACCGGCCAATAAAATGTGTTTTGATATTCCATCAAGTGTTGTCGTCGTTATTCACTCCACTCGAACTCCATAAGAACGTGAAGGAAGAAAATAACGTAAGAACTGATGTCAGAAGAAAAACGCAACAATACTTTTAGAAACGGCGAAAATTGTAAATGGCTTTAAAATAATTATTGCTTAAAATAAGAAATCACGTTCTGTCTCTTATTATGGAGCTGAGTTTCCTCTTCTGACCATTATATTATATGCATTTCAGTGTACATCCAAAGACTATTTACATTATTTTGTTTTATCATATCTCGTCCGAAAATTATGTCTGAAATTCTGCAGATGAATAATGGCCTACTAGTGTCCCATGACATTTCAAAAAATTTTAGTTGCTCTACCAAGCTCCATATCTTGAACTTCACGTGACATTGGTCACTCCTTTTACTCCCTTCCTTCTTTTCCCAAGGGAACCTCAGGTGATAATAATCATGGGAATTCCCATTGTGATATTAAGCTGAGCACATTACTCAGGCGCAGCAATATTTTCGACTAATACTGTTAGTTATAGATTGCGAATGGGACCAGCAGATTTGATGCAGTTAATTCTAATAGATTGGATAACATCATTTTATATAAGTCTATGTCATACTGATGTTGCCGCAAGAAGTCAATGTTTAGATCACCAAAGGTTTTTCTTAGTACCTTCCGCCCTGCAGTCACTAAGCGATAAAATCATTGAACAATAGTAGTTCAACCGGGTTTAAATGACGGTAAACGAGCTGGTTGCACAGACGGTTCCATGTCCAAAGAAGTTTTTCCCATGTGTAATGTAAGTACAACTCTCCTGACGAGAGAGCTTCCGCCCTAGCTATGTCAGCTTTCGGAATTAGTGCCGTCCCGCCACATAATCAGTCTACAATTGTGCGACCCGACAGAGCAAGGGCAGACAAGGCAGTACCAGTACTGTCCCTGCCGAGCCTTACTCTGTTCCGAGAGCCCTCAGGCCTTCTGTGAAGTCTGTTATCATACCCTCGTGGTTGAGATTGCCTAAGTACAGATCCTAGCCAGTACTTCCCAGGAATTCTCCTCCGAGGGGGAGTAATGTAAGTAAGCCAAGTTTTCCTTAAAAATGAATTCCACAAAGGTATCTCTTCGATTAGGCAAATAGACCTCACATGTTTGTCCGAAATCTTAAGGCTTTCTTTTCAAAAACAGCTAGACGATTTTTTTACATTTCTGTTAAGGTCCAAGTTTCAGAGCCGGTAAGTGTGTGTGCTTGGGGGGGGGCGTCTTACTAAACCCTCATGTAAAAGCAACTTATTCCCTTTATTATGTAGGTTTGATTGCAAATGTTTCTGCACACATCTGTTACCAGTGGTAATACGTTTCTTAACTTCTGTACCAATGTTGTTTTGCTGACAAGCTATGAATGATAACTTGAAACTTTATCAGAATCTAACCTTATCATTAAAATGTAACCTTATTTTCATTCTTTCAATTTTACAGCTTGTAAATGCGGCCAAGACGCAGAGTGCGTCTTCGAAGTGTGGGGAAGTGATGTTCAAAAAAAATGTTTTTGTCCTAAAGGTTACATGCAAGACATAGATGGATGGTGTTCAAGTAAGAAATTTAATATTTTTACAGATTTAATGATGTAAAGCTGTTTAATAGATACTATGCCTTGCGTTATACAAAATTTTGGACATTTTTATCAGTGTCCCTTTAGAAGTAATTCCTTTTTAATTATTATTTTAAAGTCAAAAACGTCATAAAAGTGATCTTTCCTCGAGATAACTGAAACCTAAATTTCCATAACAGTGATGAATATTTTCCTGATAAAAACTGATTAACTTCCCGTTTAGTGTACCTCTAGAAAAATGGTTTACCAACAAATCTTTGACCTATGTATCATTACTACTGTGGCTAAAATATGCACTTCCAAACTCTTAAAAGGAAAAGCCTTTGAAATAATTTTTAGAAAAAAGTTAAAAAGAAAGTGATTTCTTTCAATTCGAACTGCTTAAACATATTCAGTATGCATACCAGTGAAATAATCAAAAACTATCATCATTTAAAAATGCTCAGTTTCAGAATGCAAAATTTCTTGAAAGAGATGAAGCAACTGAAGGTAAACCTGAATGAAGTAATCCATTAATAATAACGTTCTAATAATACTAGCTCAAATTCTCGTCTATCATGTAAAGGAAAATCATTCAGCTATCAGAGTTTAGGGGAGGTAAATTTAACCATCTACATGTGAAAGGTAAAACCGAAAACTGACTAAACTGATGCCTCATAATTAAGAGACTTAGCAAGCGTACATTTGTAAAGACGTTTTTCGCTGCTGCAATGCTAAGGAAGCATTGCATGATCGAATCTTTAGATCGAATCAGGAACTGGATTTTGTATGTACTTGATGGTTTTATGAATTGGCACCCTATCGGAGTCGTTTATAGGGCTATTTGATATCTAAAGTTGATAGGAACAAATGTTCTCGGCTCTAGGAGAAAAGTGCATATGTGGTTGGTTCCTAATTAAGATTATTCAAATGGGCAGGGCAGCTAACTGGGTTCGATCACCTCACCTATATCTTATCCTTAATGAAGTGAGTAGACCGTCTATTCCAGGCAACGACCGAAGTGACGAGGACGAGCCAAACTATGCACGAATTAATGTCCAGAGCCTATCTTGTGCCTAATAAGAATTTCAGGTGTCTGAATAAGACCCCGCAATTCCCTTTATTAGCAAGAAAAGCTAAGTAGTTAGTTAACAATCGGAAAAGCTTCACAAAATGTTTTAAAGAAGAAATTTCTATCAAGAAGATTTTTGTATGAACAGAGATTGATATAGCTCATATGTAGACCACAATGAAAACCTCATTGCATACTTTTGGTTTACTATAAAAACATACGATAGTAACTGACTGTCGTGGTGTGCACTACTAGGAGGCGTTGTAATGTGACAATCTAACCAAATATATATCTAGAAATCCTTAATTAAATTTACATGTACCCAATATTTACTGCCCTGAATTCTTAGTGGTAGTACATTGCAAATTAAACCCTAGTGACAAGAATAATTAAATATTTGACTTACCCAATAACCCACATGCATGAGACTTGCGGAGACAAATTTCTTTCCTAATCTCACATTTATTTTATCAAACACATTTTCTGGATTAAATATGGAACATTTATCACACACACATAAAATATAAAAATATCATAACTTAGAACACAAAACGGGATAAATTAAAATGGAATAGTAGGCTAATGCCGAAACGTGACTATTCGGAGATAAATTACAATCCGGTCTCATCGAACATATATGCAATCACAATTTTCTCATATTAATTTCGTGCAGTGCCCATAATATTTTTGTACATGTGCAAGATCTTTTTTTTTTTTTCACTTTCACATTCTTTAACACACTTAAAATAATCACGTGGTCACACATCGATGGGTAATGCACATTCCGAAGTCGAAGACCTATAGGTAATCTGCTTGAGATGTTTTAGAACGGTATCGTGGCAGATGGATTTTAACACTGAGCATTTTCATCTAAATAAATCGCAACCTTTAGTTCTGCTTCTTTTTATGCAAAAATACCATGACACTGCATGTGAAAATATCAGGAACGATGCAACTCCATTAGCACTACATGCAGGAACATAAAACCGCACAACGTGGGACGTCGCTAATTGCCAAGCGACTGCAGGAAGGTCACGGGCGCAGAAGGGAAGAAACCAGTCTGACCGGTGCTTATATACACACGTGCAGTTCCATGATAACGATTAAAATTTGTGTTGCCGGCAAACTGCGTGGTGTGAGAAGTTACTATTCTCACACTGACATAACATAAAAGTAATGTCGTATTCTAAGATAATGCGAAATCTAATATGATTTCAAGAATTTTCACCAAAGTGTAACAGTGTGCTAAGAACCTTGCCTCAGTGCATTAACAGTGTTTATTAGACAAATATATGCATAAAACTTCATTATGTCAAGGTCATAATAGAGCTTTTAAATAAAGGTTCCAGTCTGAAAGGAAAAATTTCGACAAGATAAATAATTTTGTATAGCACTTAAACGGGGAAATATATTTGGATTATAATGGGATTAATATAATTGACCAAATTAATTTTTAAGACACATACATATTAGTCTATGCGTACAAATATGGCAGAATATTTCAAATGACCTGTTAACTTCTTTTTTAAACTGCTCTAGTGCATATTCATAAGAGAGATATTACAGTTATTGGTTTATAAAAATAATAATTCATTTTTTCATAATGATTAAGTATATTAAAATTGTCTTCGATCTGAGCTATTCAATGTGCTCCGCTTTGAAACTCGAAGCTAAGAAATTAAACGAAAAGAAATATGTTTTGCTTCTATTTATAAATGATTGCAGAAATTTTCTCCCATTGCAAATCGTAGTTCTCAGAAAATGAAATAAAAATATAAATAATGTCATCTATGAAGTTTTACGATTCGTTAAGGTGCATTAATTCTAAGGGTATAATCACTAAACAAGCGACTTCTCTGGGTGGACGCGGGTCTTTCATTTTGGTTTGCCCATACCTTTAGTTCTAACGGAAGTTGTTTTTTACGACATTTTTTTCATCATATATCGATTAATCTCAAATTAAGAGGTTTATAGCGCAGAAATGTAATAAACCCTTAAAAGCGTACTATATAGCTACATATTTAATAAACAAAACTTCCAAATAAATTAATTTTATGAACTAACTTACATATATTAAATAAATACATAAATAAAAACAACAAAATACAAAAGAGATAAAAATCAAAATAAAATGAAATAAGTATAAATATTCACTTAATTGTTCAATATTTTGAAAGAATTTAGTTATTTTGCAGAAGCCTTGGCTCCCATTCCCTTTAATATTTATACAGTACGTCAACACACATGAATGTAAATAGAGGGCACATACATCATTACACGGAAGAAATGCAATCAATTCAGTGGCCAAAAACTAAAGAGTTTTGCTCTGTTTTCTAAAACTGTCAAAATTTCTATTATTAATAATTTAATACAGGAATCATGTTTAATGCTGTTATAGAATTCTATTATTATGTTAATACAGGAATCATGTTTAATGCTGTTATAGAATTCTATTATTATGTTAATACAGGAATCATGTTTAATGCTGTTATAGCACTCATGAGTGTTTCGGTATTGGAAATGCATATCATTGATTTTCATTAATTTACATTAAAAAATTATTGTTTTTATTGAGTGGATTCACTATCAGTGAATGCGTCAAAACATAAAGTGAATGTACATCAATTCATTAAAATTTAATTTAACATCGAAATGAAATTTTAACAAATTTTACCCTATTATTAGTTAAAATAATTTTAGCAAGCAAATGAAAGAAGCAAGCAAAAGAAATATGATATTAAATTTATTTAATATCATATTTCCTTTGCTTGCTTTTTAAGAAATATTAAGCTCAGTTTTCACCATTATGACGTCCGAGAGTTCTAAGACATCATCTTTGGAAAAGTTAAGATTGTGGTTTCGAACAATACTGTGTACGTTTCTTGTTTAATAAACCAATACAATATTAAGAAAAGCTAAAAAATTGCTTCCGCTTAGAATAAAAACCAGTCTAAAAATTAATGCTCTTCATGCATTTAAGAAGTGTCCGTGGTCCTTTAATAGCTAAAATGAAGCACAAAATCTGTAAGAAATAAAGAACAAAAAAAAAAAAAAAAAAAAAAGAGATAGATAAAGTATTTAAGAGTGTCTTCGGAGGTAATGAGCAATTAAAATTGTAACTTTTTTTAAATAAAAGATTGCAAAGAGGTGTAGGTCCAAAGAAAACCTTACAAAACAGTCTTTGACAGTTCATCTTAATTACAGACATCCTTGCAGGTAAAGTAGCATAGTAATAGAGCTATGAATATCAGTTGCGCAAGCGGCTGATTTACTTTAAACACATCTATATAGCAAATACTAGAAATAATGCACAAGCTCCCGAGTGCTATCTGCTTATCGATCGAAATCCCGTTATTTACCTGCACAATCCTATTACTTACCTGGACTGAGTCCCAATGATTAATAAAACTTAAGCCACTAATTAGTGTATCCAAGACATCAGTTAACTGAATATCTCTAAGCAATGCTTATCCTCCATATCACACTGCGGTGTCCGCCGATAACATCGCGGCAAAAACATCGCAGACGAAAACGTCGCGGAGAAAACAACGCAAGGAGAAAACGTCGTGCTACAAAACATCGTGGGAGAAAACATCGCAGTTCTAAAACATCGTGGTACAAAACATCGTCGTCGAAAATAAAGCGGTTAAAAAACTTTGCAGTTTAAAAACATCGTCGTTGAAAATATCGTGGTAAAAAATAAAGTATCTACAAATTATCGCATGACGATAACATCGCAGACATTTTTTTTTCAGGTTTTAATAATTGGAAATGGATATTCCCATAATGATTTGTGAGCGCAAGATGTAAAGAAGGATAATTTTTACTTTCACATTTTTAAATAACTAATAAATTTTTGCTGAAAAAGTAAGAAGGAAACTTAAGCATAGATAATTAAATGCAACTTATAGCTTATACTTTTCATGAAAAATTACCAGTAAAAGCATTACAAAAATGATTTATTAATGGCCTTTGTTAGTTAACTATGTCGGTTTAAAATTCCATTAAGTGCTATAAGTTGCATTAATTTTCTATGCTTAAGTTTCCTTCTTATTTTCTCAGCAAAAATTTATTAGTTAATAAAAGAATATGAAAGTAAAAATTATCCTTCTTTCCACCTTGCGCTCACAAATCATTATAGGAATATAAATTTACAGTTATTAAAGAATGTCTGCGAAAAGCATGTCTGAAAAAAGCATATCTGCGATGTTATCGTCATGCGACGATTTGTAGATACTTTATTTTTTACCACGATATTTTCGACGACGATGTTTTTAAACTGCGAAGTTTCTGAACCGCTTTATTTTCGACGACGATGTTTTGTACCACAATGTTTTAGGACTGCGATGTTTTCTCCCACGATGTTTTGTAGCACGACGTTTTTGCCTTGCGTTGTTTTCTTCGCCACGTTTTCGTCCGCGATGTTTTCGGCTGTAACCCACACTGCGAGGATTTGCGTATGAGCTTCTATAATGAGATGAAACTTCAAAGTAAACATTCACTTTTACATTAATATATAATATATATATCAATATATAATCTACAGTGTATGTATATATCAACATTTTAGGAAACGCTTTTTTTGAATTTTTATATTATTATTACGTGTTAATATTTTGATGTTTTTATTTTATGTATATATCCGAAATGAAATGCTTAAGGAAAGTTTGCAAAACATTTGCATATCACTGTGTAGGATTTCCGGTTTGCGAAGATGGGGAAAAGTGCCCCAATTCAACGGTATGTGTGAATACAGATGAAGGCTACAAATGTGTTTGCAAAGAAGGTTTTCGGCGCCTCCGAAAGAATGCCGATCCCGAACAATTTGGATGTGAAGGTAAGTTTTCTCATACTAAAGCCTTTTACGCATATTATACTAGCGAATGCAAAATACAATAGATAATTTTCTGTACAAGCGCGCTCTTCGAAAACCAATTTCAAAGACAGGTTCGCAAGGATTTACATATTTAGTGTCGTTCCAAATATGTAAAGATATGTAAAGTGAAAGTTATCACCGTTCACGTAACATACTTGACAAGGAAAATCCAGTAGCTGTCATGTTTCTTGCTTTTACGAACCAGGTGTTCGACTGTATTTCACAACTGGTGGATGGCTTGATTTTCTTAAGCATTTTATTCTCACACAACAAATGTGTCACATCTTATTGCACTCTATAAAGTATCTTATTCTCAACAAACAAAGCGTATCACATTTTACTACACTCTAAAATGCATTTTATTGTCACACTACAAACCGAAGCAGATGACTGACTGCATTTCACAGTCAGTGGATGGCTCAATTTTCTTAAACATTTTATTCTCACACCACAAAGCCCCCCCCACGTCAGTGCACGTGGGGTCGGAATCTTTACATAGAATACTGGGAGTTGGAATCTTTACATAGAATACTGGGAGTCCAAATCTTTACATAGAATACTGGGAGTCGGAATCTTTACATAGAATATTGGGAGGCGGAAACTTTACATAGAATACTGGGAATCGGAATCTTTACATAGAATACTGGGAAGGCGAAATCTTTACATAGAATATTGGGAGTCGGAATCTTTACATAGAATACTGGGAATCGGAATCTTTACATAGAATACTGGGAAGCGAAATCTTTACATAGAATATTGGGAGTCGGAATCTTTACATAGAATACTGGGAGTCGGAATCTTTACATAGACTACTGGGAGTCGGAATCTTTACATAGAATACTGGGAGGCGAAATCTTTACATAGAATATTGGGAGTCAGAATCTTTACATAGAATACTGGGAGTCAGAATCTTTACATAGACTACTGGGAGTCGGAATCTTTACATAGAATACTGGGTTTCGGAGCGGGCATTCATTTTGAACACGCGCGAAATTCCAAACAATATTCACAAACGTACTTAAAAAAAAAAACCTACCTTAATAAAATAATTTCTTTTACCACATTCAAGAAAGTAAAAAAGACATATTATGGATTATTATTAATTATAGCTATTAAAATAACAAAATAAAAAATTAAATGCACTTCTTAATACGTATGGAAATTACTAATTAAATAAAATGGCACAGATACAGATATCAACAGATATTAATTAAATAAAAGGCATAGTCTTTAGGCTTCTTTATATAACGTCTACACCCTTATCAAGTATACTTTATTATGTTCAACTTCTTTCTCTTTATTTAAATTTAAAGTTCTGAACCAATATTCAGTACGTCCGTACAAACTGATTTGTGTGTTTCGCAAAAGAAATCACATCTTTTATTTTTTGAAATGCCCGGAACTTTGTCTTAATGATGGAAAAATAATTGAAGGCTATGAGATGCAGATCTATGATCTATTTTTATGCAATTATGGCTTTGCAAGTAGTGAAGTATGGAATTCTATGATTATATTACCTAATATTATTGATATGATTATACCATATCTATTTTGTTACTTGGATATGTAATAATACCAATACTATTATACCCAATATATTAGTCTATAGTGAAGATTGAAGCAAACATTGGTTAAATGGTTAATATATGATTTTTACACAGATATATGTGGCCAGAATAACTGTGTAAGAGGAGAATGTGAAGTAACTGGTGATCATTATCACTGCAGGTAAGACATTTTTCGAATATTTTTATTTAATTAAGTATAGTTTTAAGAAAATATACATAAATTGTTTAGCAAGGAAATGAAAGTAGTGTAGATACACAGAGTAAAAGTATTCTTATGTAAATTTCCCATTTCAGTTTTATTAGTGTGTAATTCATAGTTTTATAATCCGTTAAGGCAATGAAAATAACGAAGTTGATATAAATTATATCTGTTATTTTTATTAATGTCTAATTTACATATTTACAATTCGTGAAAAAGGGACACAAAGGTTTTAATAAGAAAGTGATAGTGATGTAGAGACACAGCCTAAAAACAGGCTTTCTCAATTTTTTTCTTTAATTTTGGTTAATGCTTTTCGTATATAATCCATTAAAAAATTAATGAATTTAATAAGGAAATGACAATGATGTAAACATGTAGAATAAAAATATTCGTATGTGAATTGTCTCTTTCCATTTTATTGTTGTTTAACTTATTGGATTTATAATTCGTTTTGTAAATGGAAGTAATATACAAAGTCAATGATAATATATCGAAGCACAGAATAAAAGCATTGTGAAATTTTTCTTTTAATTTTTGTCAACGACTTTTCTTTTGATCTATAACTCAATATGAAAATGGAAATAAAAGATTTAGTAAAGAAATGACAATGATATAGATTCAAAAAATGAAAATACTCTTATGTAAACTTTCCTTTTCAGATATGTGAATTTCAGTTCTATGAATTTATAAGCCATTAAGGAAAAATGAAAAAAAGCAAGGAAATGGCAACAGCTTAGATACACAGAATGAAAATATTCCTATATAAAAAAATTGGAAATAAAGTAGTTATCAAGAAACTATTAATAATGAAGACACAGTGACTAAAAAGCATTTTGAAATGAAAGGAAGGAATATTAATAATTTTACGACTTACGACTTTTGTATATATGTAAATAATTTCTTTGAAATTGTAGTACCTTTTGTATAATGAAATATTAAATGCTTGAGAAACGAGGCTTTTCCGGAAAAATGAAGCTACAGGAGCAAGTCTATTTAACATTGAAGTAAAATGTTATCTCGCTAGATTGGCGAGATATCACCAAGATCGCAATGGTTTTTAACGACTAATTTTTGTTGCCAAATTTGGCGAGAAATGCCCAAAGTCGCCACACTTGGCGACTATTAGGTCCGGTTCCTGTATAATTGTAATTGAATAAATATGATTGAACTCTACATATAACTGTAATCAAACTCGGCCCTTGTATGTCTCCTATTAATTTCGAGAAATGGAAGGTACTAGTGTTTTCTTAGCGGCCTGAGAAAAACTATATAAGTCCGGAGAGAGAACCAGTTCTCATTTTATTTACCTTCAGAGTTGACTTTGATTCCTGAGAGATTTGACTTTTAATAATGAGCTATTGAGAGATCGCGCGAGCTTCGCTCTGTGGATGCGCTTTGCATTGTGTTGTGTTTAACGTTATTATTAGTTAAAAGTGGTAGCTATTGATTGTGCTCTGTTACACTGAGAAGAGGTATACCAGTACTTTTGTGGAAAGTTCCAGAACTGCAAAGTGTTTCATTTGGTAAAATAAATTGCATCAAACTATAATCGGTTCTGTGTGCATTCAATCCATTACGAAAGCCCGCTTACAACAATAATATCTTTAATAGCAATAAAAGTAATATAAGCTTACAGCAATATGTTTATTTTATCATGTTTGGCCTAATAATTTGATATATTTTCGTTTGGAATGAAGATAATCGCTGCTTAGAATGAAACTTTACACACTGCTAAATGCATTCTGAATGGAATAATTCTCAAGTAATCACTGGGTATCATTTTGAAATACCTCACAAAACTTAATAAATGATTGTCCGGAAGCTTTATAACCATCGCAGACTGCTCTTAGTATTATTTAAAGTACTGTAGTTTCAAAACCCATTTTCTTCCCATGTCAATTGTAAATTAAAATGTTGTGTTTTCATGTATTTACAGTATATGAATATTAAGCTACGACCTTGTTTATTCATATATTCCTCCAAATCTTCTTCTAATTTCCTTCACTTATTCAATCGCATTAACTATCTTACGAAATTTACTTTAGAACTTTAGCTTAAGATATTTGGAAGGCTATTATTCGTAGAGACATTTAATTTTTAGAAGCAGGCAAGATGAAAAATAAGCAACGCCTTCGCCGGGAATCGAACTAAGGATCTCTGGAATACGTGCCCAGCGTGCAGACTACCACACCACGAATGCATGCCAAGATGGCGGGAGAAATACCTTATACCTTATCCTCTAGAGCCCGCCCTTTTTGCAAAAACTTTGATCTTTCATGCGGGAAAAAATGAAAAATTAATGTTTTGCAGAATATCTCATTTCAGCATTCAGTGGCTGTATTTTTATTTGGAATATTTTATTCTCTCTGGTTTCCATTTGAAGTAATACAGTTCACGGTATTTTTTTAAATAATTGAAACGTCCAATTTATATTATAGATTTCTGTAATGTTATTCTTTACTTTCATTGTTTAGATTTTGAGTTAAAGAGCTCTGAAAAGAAGATGATTAAAATATTTCTTCTCAGACACATATCAGATCAATATCAGATCTGGTTAAATGTGGTGTATATGTTTCAGGGACCCTGAAGGAAACTGCAATAAATCTGCTAGTTTAAAATTCGGTCGTTGCGTAAAAAGGTGGCGCATAAAGAACATTAAATACAAACTGGAAACATTATTTAGCTACAGCATTTGTTTGTGGCGCGTTACATTAATGACTTGTTCAAACGCGTTATACATATGCAGCAGTAAAGCAAAGGACTCCTTCAGGAGCTGCAACAATATGGCGTGTTATTCTTGCTTTCAGTTCATTCAGAGTCCAAATATGCATCCTTCGTGGAAATGATCTTTCAGAAATTACGAAGCCCAGAAGTTACTAGAATTCAGGTCCAGTAAATGAAGAAGTTAGGCTTTCAAAAAAGTTCACGAAATTACCCTATCATTTCCAGAGTGAGCTCAACGATGTTCTTTCACTTGTTGACTACTATTGGTGTTGCCTTATCTTACATGAAGACAATAGGCTCTAAATATTCTCATTCTTGTAATGAATGAATGAATCATTTGCTGAATACACTACGATACACTTTTAGGGTCTTCAGGAGAGCACTTTTCGAATAAAAAGGGGCTATGAAATAAGCAGTAAACTCAAATCTTACAAATCACGTATACAGAATGCAAAGGGTGTTCATTTAAAATATTGGAACTTACAGTACACCGTATGTTACAGTTCTGAGTATTCAGCACTTTGTTTAGGGCAAAATGGAAGCAATCGGACCACAAAATGTTCCAAGGCCATGCATTATCACCAATTTTCACCCAAAACTGACAAGCAAAATCGGTGATTTTGCTTGTCAGTTTCGGTGAAAAACTTTGAATCGGTGAAAATCGGTGAACCACGAAGGAAGGAAGTCAACAGCTTGTAAATTTGTTGTTAATTACTCACAGTAGTAACTAGAGCTTAACAAATAAACAAATATCAACTATTCAGTAAAGATAAATACTTATATAATGGAATAGGAATAAATGGATAGTGTTAGTGCATGAGATTAGTGTATCTCCCAACAGAATCACATTTCTTTCTACACATAAAATATGTGAGATTCTCAAAAATTAACTAATAATGTTGATATTTAGGATTTCATGCAGAATTTAGAGTGTTTCTCCAAATAATGTTATGAGAAGTTGAAAATAAGGAGCTCGTACAAATTTAATTACTATCTAAGTGTAATGAATGTGAGTAACTTTCTTTGACTAAAGATTGCACATTGTCATAAAACTCTAGCATAAGCTCATGTTTATGCATAACATTAATTTTGGGGCATGGATTACAGACCCAAGTAGGTTCTCAAAACAGAAGGCACTACTCAAAAACTAGTAATTCCGAGGCTGAAAGTTTCCGAAAATATTTGCCGAAGTTAAGAGGAACTACACGTAGTAAACAATAAGACTCCGGTGAAGATTCAATAAAACACTAATTTACTATTTTCAGCTTCTTATAGAGAAGGCAGAATAGCGAGAATATCCAATAGCAAAATCATGTTAAAATTAAAAAATATGAGCTTGAAATTTTGAGAACTTTCGAGACGTTGCCACCTTAGTGATTACTGTCAAATATCGCCTAATACATTAAATGCAGTGTCTTCAGTTACGTTAAAATAATCTGGATGCAAAAAATTGAAGTATCAGTCCAGTTTTATTCATTAAAATATGGTGTAATTATTGTACATGTATGTGTAAAAAGATTTCATTACAATTATTAATCTAATTTTATAGGGTTATATATTGTGTATGCAAAGTTAACAAGGAAATATTCAGCCGGTACTTTCCGTTTTGCCAACGCAAGCGATCAAGTCGCCAGTAATGGTTCAACCGATGCCGAACGAAATATCCTCGCTGGTAACCTTTTACTTTAACTTTTACATTTTTAAAACAAATCGTAGCCATTTCTTATCAGATTGTTTCTTTCAATACTGGCATACGATTACCTAGAAGTTTTACCAGATAGTTCAATTTTATGCCCTAAGGCCATTCGCGGGCGGTAATTAAGTCAATTATGATGCAATCACCCGATGGCGAAAATATAGGAAAGGCAAAGTCAAGAGTTAAATTCATCATTTTCTAATTAGAATGCACTAGCGAAATAAAGTACTGTGGTTTTACAAAATTTTCGAGTAAGCTATTCGTGCGAATTGAAATAATTCTGGCATTTAAGCTTGTATTCCAAATTAAGATTTAACTTGAAATTAATGTAGATAATTACCGAGAGAATTGGATTTTTGCAGCGTAGTTTACGTGAGATGAGATCATTTGGGATCACGTGATATGAACCGGCGAATCAGGATGTTGTACGATGAAAGGATAGTAAATTCTTAAATTAATGTCTTTTACAAATTTATTGTCTTTATTTATTGGCTTTCTTACAAAATTTTAAACGAGATTAAAATGTTTATACCTTCAAAATAAAAAATTCTTAGAACTATCATTTGTCAACATTTTTTATGTGTGTACTTCGTATGTGTATACTTATATTTCGCCAATAAAGTCTGCTTGTCAACATTTGCGCCAGCGAAACGGAAAAGTACCATTCAGCCCTTCCTTAAAAATGAATTAAATATTTCTAATCGGTAAGTTGCTCAGAAAGGCTATATGACAATATTAAGTTCTGATCTAAGCTATGATTGTTTGGCCTTGAAATTCTGTTTTCCGTTCGACACTAAAATAATAATTGTTGAAACACATGCAGCATTTATTTTCTCTTTCTTTGTTTTGAATTTTTCATTAGTTTGTTCTACATTGCTTAGGTGCCAAGACGGTTACGCAGGAACTTACTGTGAAGTTGAACTTGATGTCTATCCTAGTAAGTAAAATAAATCATTAAATAAATCAGTAAAATAAAAAGTAATTTAATGTAGCATTTATAAATATGTAAACAGTCGTTTTAACATATATAAATCGTATAATATATGTCTATATATTCATAATCACATATAGTGCATACTTTGTCATACTCCATTGGGCAAAAGAAAGTGGTAATTAAGTAGTAGTAGGCTTACTAATTTCGGATAGTGCATAAAAATATTTCGACAATTAAATATACAATTAAATACCCTCTAATATGTTAAGCAACCTTCGACCGTTGAGCTGGTAGGACGTGTTCTTGCTACACTGCGTTCAAATGCGAACTATGTTTTTTTCAATGTGCTTCCATTAATTTTGAGCTAAGTGAATTATTCTGTGCTACTGTGTTCTCTATCAGGCAGTGTCTTTTATTCAGGAAAGTTTAACAATAGAATATTAGTTATATGAATTTCTTAAAAATTTTAAATGATGCCTTTTTCAGCTTTCAAATAATTCATATTCATTCTTCTCGTTTCAGAAAAGAAATCGATGGTAGTTGCTTTCTCAGTTCTTGCTACACTCATCATTGTGTTGCTGATTGCAACAGTTTTCCTTTGTAGAAAGGTTCGATAGCCATAAGCCAAAACTTTAAACTTTTAGAAATTCAGATAGACATGTGAATTATGAGTCATGTCGCCTGAATACCTGAATCCTTTTAAAGTACAGCTGGGCATGTGAACTGGATATGAACTTGGAAATAAGCAAGATGATCCGAAGAAATGAAAGCAAATTATTATGATTTAAAAATATCCTAGCTTTCAAGAACGAACATAATTTTAATATATAGCAGCACATTTCGATGTACATTTTTACCTTTAGAGTATTGCTTAATTAAATTATCTTTAATATTATCTTCATTCCAACAAAAATCATTTGACAAACAGTTGTAAGATGAATTCTGAATGCTGATATCCTTGTAAAAGTTGGTGTGTTGGTGTTGGTGTATTTAATTATGGCAAAGCACATGAGGGCTATCTGCCTAAGGGGAGGGATGCCTTTCGTGGAGGACTTTCTAAGGGAAACTGGCTCGTATACACGTTACACATGGGGAAAACCACGAAAACGCCCATGCAGCCAGCCCGTTCGCGGGATTCGAACCTCGGACCGAACTACCAGTGTTCAGCGACTTTACCGCTCGGCCGCTGCCTTGTAAAAGAGTAAAACATTTTAGATTAGCAGTAGTTTCAGGAAAACGCCTATTCAAAATGATATGTTTATTCCAGAACAGATAGCTGGGAAAGGCTCATTCAAAATGCATGTAATATTTTGCTGTTTTTCGCTAAATTCGAAGAATTTAAATTCTAATAACATTCTAAGTGTAAAAAACTGCTAAATTTTAAAATTTATATTTGATGTTTCTCCTATATTTATTATCAATACTTAATATATAAACCTTTCCCCAAATAATCTAGTCTTTTAATAAGATGATTCTCAAAAGTCAGAATTTTCCATTAATATTGAAACATAAAGCAAGTAAAAAATATGGAAAAAAAAATCAGTCTTCTTATTCAGGTAGTCGTACAACTTGCGACTAATCGGATTCTCAGCAAATGTTTTACATGAAGGAATAATGATGTATGCATATATTATAAACATAATGATGTATGTATAAATTATAAATGTATTTAAAAGAATAAGCAGTATTAAAACCGGTTATATATTTATTTAGAATATTTCTGACATTTATAAACAATAGTTTCTTAATCAAAATTTATTACCCTATGTTTGTTTAATTAAAATCTGGTTTTAATTTTTATAGAATAGTTACAGTATTTATAATATATTAATTTTTATTGTACTGCAGTCTATAGCATGGAATAAAATTTTTTCATGCAAAATTGCTAGGTCTCTAAAACACATTTTCTTTTTTTAACGATTTTTATACTCGTTATTTATGATGACATACAGCTATACACTACGCAGCTTTTTCCAGCTCAGTGAGTTCCGGGAAGGCTACGACGAAAGTGAGAGTTCCCCCCCAGTTGAATTTCACGAAACAAATCACCAGCAGAAAGCGAGGTCATATTTTCCTCTGTTAAAGTAAAACCTTATCTGGCACGACAAAGCACGGTCTGAAAATACTAGGTGGCATATGACGCTCTGTCTGATAGTCTAGGGAGCGGTGAAAAACCGCAAGGTCGGAGGGTAAAATCAAGGCACAAGGATCGTCGGCTGGTAAATCAGAAAGCAGCTTCATCAGGAATTCACATTCACATCAGGAATTTATTGGAATTCACATGACTTTCATCAAAGAATCATATTTTTAGGATGTGAGAGAATGTATTTTTTCTGTACAGATTCGATGATTTTCAAATGTTCCAGAGCAAAATGTCATTTTGGAGTAAGGAATCAGATTTTTTACACTTTTCAGCAGTTTCCTAAAATTTTGTCTAGGAAGACAGCGTACACTTTCATCTTTTAGAACATCAGCAAGGGAAGTGTACTTAGAGTTCATAGCAGAAGGTGCAGCAGCAGTGTCCGGATAACTGGGAATAACCGTTCTGCGGTTTTTGCGAAATGTAACTTTTGAAAATGACTCTATGATTCGAAAGACATCGAACACACTTTACTTTTTCATTATTTTTTAGTTCAAAAATGTAGGTTAAAAGATCTTCATTGCACTCCAAGCATCGAGGTCGGTTATTTCACCTGGCCTGACTATGTCCAAATCGTTGGTATCCAAAGCAGACCATAGACTTCTTTCCAAATCGTACGACAAGATTTCGTATACTAAACTTCAGTGAATAATACAGGCAGCTTAGAGGTTCCTATTAAATGAGTGACTTTTGTAACTGGAAAGCTCAATTCACAAATGTCTTATCTAATTTCTTGAACGTCAGCATCATTTGGCAGTCATCTAATAATGGTTTTTGATCGGAGCATCCGATTTGTTTCTAAACATGTTAAACTGATTTTTGCAAGCAGGTTAAAGCTTTATCACGCATGTCGCTTGAAAGAATGCTCAGCTTTATCTCATCTGTGTTTAGGATAATCTTCTATTATAGTATTTTCCGAGATCTCTTTTCAAGTGATAACTTGTCTGAAGCAAACACCTTGAGGTAATCTTTCTTTCTTTTCTCAAGCATCGGAGCTAGATGCTCATCTACATCTGTCTGTTCAACATCATCATCATCATTACGAATGATGGTAGCAAAGGAGTTATCATGAGGAAAATTGGGAGGAGAATACTCAGGTGATCTTTATGTCTTTATGATAGTTTCCTATTATATTCAGCAGGAGACAGTTTATTCTCCTTTTACCAGTTTTGTAGACAATACCATAAAGCGACTAACATATATTAATTCCGGAAAGAAATATTTAAGTCGAAACGAATCAAACTGAAATGAATTAGCCTGCGAATATCGCGCGAAACGCAACTTGTCCGTCTCGATAACAAATAAGGCCAATCAGGAACATGACGTAGAATTTCTGACAATGGTACCCAGAGAATGAGGCAACAGCAGGTGGGAAAATGGAGCCTAAACATCACAGGCATGAGAAACAAAATTCAGAGCATACCAAAAGCCATAAACAATGGATCTATCTGTCTCACCCAAACGTAAATATTACAATCAGCATTCAGAGGAAAATTTTAATTTCCTCAAAGCTGCAAATTGCATCAGTTTGCTGAAGAAATTAGTAAATCTTTCCACCACAAATTCAAGTTCCGACGTCATTGGAGGAGCTAACTGAATCTTGCGGAACGTCTTCCATGTCGCGTGATTCTTTCCTACGTTTAGCAGCTTTAAAGCAATGTTGTTATTTATTAGCTTAAATATAAGTGTTTAATATGGTATTTTTTGTAAAGAAAGGTATTACTGCACATTTTGTAAAAAATAAACAAAACAATGATTAATAATTATAACAATTATTAATTGTTTAATAATTCATCATAAGAATACGAATAATAAATAAATATTTTGGGGGGTATTATTTTTTTTTTTCTAGGTATCCCAGCATTAATTTTTGGTAGCATTATTAAATTCTAAATAAATGTCTTTTTGAACGCAACATCAGTTATTCACATTAAATTCCTAACGTAAGAAAATGCCTTACAAGGGAGTATTATTAAATAAAAAATTTTTACTAAAGCAGATACTTTTATTATTCTCACAGTAATAATAATATAGATATAATAATTTTAGTTCACTATAGTTGAGTGAATAAGTCGGTTGGATGTTGCCAGTTAGTCTTGGGTTTGTTGCTAGCAACCAAACAGATTAGCTACTTGGTGTCTTTGATTTTCCTTATGTGTAATGGGGATTTAATCCAATTTTATTTAGAAAATTGCCCAGGAAGGTATCTTCTTAAAACAGATAGCCCATGACTATTTTAACAACTTTAAAATATAATATATGGATATTTATCGTTATTCGGCAACCCGAGCGTTTTTTTTTTTTTCAAAAATAGTATACTTACCAGCGCTGCTTATTGGCTGGCATTGAATCAAACGTATCTTTCTTATCCTTTTTTTTACTTTTCTTTTTTCAAAGAAAGTTTTGCCACTCAATTATTATATTTATAAGCTGTCGTTTATTTTGTTCTTTCTTTTATGCAAATATCCAACTTAAGGAACATATTTCGTAAGTTCATAAAGCAAACTACTGGCTGAGCGGTAAAATCGCTGAGCACCGGTAAATTCTAGCTGCTGCATGGGTCACAAGTGTATCGTGAATTACCAGCCCGCTTACCCCAAAAAATAATTCACGAGCATTTTCCTTCCCTTAGGCGAACAGCCCCAGTGTGCTTTACCATAATCCAAAATCTTAGGCTTAAAATGAGTGGATTATAATATATTTATTAGTGGATATATCAAGTTAGCATACTCGTATACCTCTTTCTATCGAAAACGTTTTGGCGCATTTTACGATATAATGAAAAAAGTTTCAAACCGGTTTTTAGCTTAAACAGTGTTTTCAATGTTAATCATACCAAAAATTTCATCAACAGTATTTTCAAGATTAAACCGCAGGTATGTGTTCATAATTATACTACACACGAAGGCTGCTGCTAATGATTATAATTAACTTTTATATCAATTTTATATTATAAAAATTTAGATTAGGATCGTTTACAGCAAAATGTTTGAGGACTATATACCTAAAAGGAATAATGGCTCGTAAAGGACATGTAAAAAGAAACAATTCGCATTACATTACACATGAGTAAAAGAACGAAAACTTCCCCGCAATGAACAAATTTGTCGAGTTTTAAACTCGTTACAATTACCAATTACGATACTGTCCACTTTTTTTATTTAGCTTATGACAAAGTGCAGGATGAGTGTCTCTTAGTACACTGGTAGTTTAACCCCGATTTCCAACCTCTGTGAACGGGCTCACAGCATTGGTATTTTCGTGGTTTTAACATGTAACATGGGTACGAGACAGTTTTCTTTGGAAAGTCTTTACCTACCCCTTAGGCAGATCACCTTCTTGTGCTTTGGCATAATCTAACAAAGCAAACCAAACCTAACCCCAAGCGAGGAGTTGTAGTCAAGGCACGACTTCGTGAGGCCTTTTTAAATGAAATTAGCTCATATTCATTTTAATCATGAACAGCAAAATTTCACGAAAACCCTGCATATGCATCTATATAGTAATTTAATTCATAAAATACCAAATATTGAAAATAATAAGAGTAATATCCTAAAATAAACCAAAATAATAAAATTGTGAAAGTAGTAAATTCTTTCACTAATAATACCAACCGAAGAATAGCATTAAAAATGCTAATGTAATCGGATTAGTAAATGAGCGTCGTCGCTCAATGCAAAACACGCAAGACGGACGTACACGATGAACAGGATCTGAGTGGCAGGTTACAATCTCGACCGACGAACCTATTTCCT